CTTAAACACATCAATCAGATCCCCTCTAACTCTTATTTTTTCAAGAGAAAAGTTTCAGTTTAACCTGTCCTCATATAACAATCCCCCTCCCTATCCAAGGCACCATTCTCTTTGCACTCCTCTGAATCCTTTCCAACAATTCAATGTCTTTCCAAATATAAGGAGCCCAAGACTGAACACAATATTCCAAATGTGGCCTAACCAGTGACCTATATAATGAAATTATAACCTCTTTAGATTTTTATTCAATATTTGTATAGATACAACCTAAAATCCTATTTGCCCTACCACTAACAACAACACACTGGCATTTATTATAATTAAAACCCATCTTCCATTTATTTGCCAAACTCACTAAATGATCTAAATCCTTTGGTAAAGCAGCGACATCCTCTTCACAGGTAACAACACAGAAGACCTTAATATCATCTACAAATTTAAGTAATTTATTGACTATCCCTTCATCTATGTCATTGATGTAAATCAAAAACAGCAAAAGTTCTAAGACTGAGTCCTGAGGTACCCCATTTGTGACATTAATCCAGTTTGACTGAACTCCATATGTAAAAACCCTCTGCTTTCTTCCATCCAGGCACTCTTCTATCCAATTTGCTAACTTATCTCCCACACCTATAGAGCTAATTTTTTTACAAGCCTTTTATGTGGCTCCTTGTCAAATACTTGCTGAAAACCCGGATACACCAAATTTACACCCTTACCATCATTTACATAAGTAGTACCCTTTTCAAAGAATGTCAAAAGATTTGTGAGGCAAGATTTTCCTTAATAAAACCATATTGACTATCCAATAAATTCTAAACTTTGTTAAATGGCCTTGCAAAGCATCTTTTTTTTTCAAAATTTCCCAAACTTTCCCACAACTGATGTAAGACTATCATCTCCCTTGAAAGGAGGAATGACATTAGCCATCTACCAATCCTCTGCTAACTGCCCACTATTAAAGGACTTACAAAAAATAGTAGCAAGTGTCTCACGTATACAATCTTTAACTTCCTTCAAAACTCTTGGGGAAATATTATATGGCCCAGGAGCATTATTGTTCTTTATACTTCCTATTTTTTTTCAATGTGATTATCTTGTTTCCATCTACCAACTGTTCAAGAAGAGGAATAGTGCCCAAAACTTTAATTATTAAAAACTAAATAAAAAGTATAATTTAATAATCCATCCATCTCATAACAATCAGATACAAGACTTCATTTATCATTCCTCAAAGGTCCTATCCCATCCTAATATTTTATTTACCCTTAATGTATTTAAAGAAATCATTACTGTTAATTTTTTAATTTTCAGCCAAACTTCTTTCATACAACGATTTTGATATCCTAATTTCCTGTTTATCAACACTCTTGATCTTCTAAATCTCCCGTTATACCAGTCAATGTAAATTTTGTAAATTTCTGATGCTTTTCTTTAATGTCATCCATTATACTGTGAGCCAACCTGGTTATTTATTTGCAGCCACCCTTTTCTTTGTATAAGGAATATTTTTATCTTGAATATTTAATTTTTTTTTTTCATATTTTATCACCCAAATGTTCTCCATTTGCACCCTCTCAACCAATTCTATATTAGGCATTAACAATAAATCTGAAATAGCATTGTTTCTAGTAGGTTCCTAGACCAATTGGTGAAGAAAACATCTTAAACAGTTTCAAAAAACCATTCTCCCTCATGGTTTGACTCTTAAAATTTACCAGTCTATATGCCTGAAATTAAAATCACCCACAATTATGACCTCATTAACAGCTGAAATCTTAATCTCACTGTAAAGTTATTCATTAATTTTATCAGTATCATCTGAAACAAATTCTAACTAAAAGCCTTTTCCCTTTATATCTGCTAATCAGAACCCAAATGGATTCAGTCTTGTCCTCATTCCTTCTAGTCTTGATGTACATATTTCATGGACGCATCCCTTCGGGGATGGGGAGGGGGGCAATCAAGGGGAAGCTTCAAGGTTTTGGTCTGCGGCTGAGAGGTCTTATCATAGCAACGTCCTGGAGATTCTGCTGTAAATCCTGTTTTGGTTCATTTTCTCCAGTGGCTGCTTATTTCAATCACCAGGGCAGCACCCATTTTCGATCCCTCTGTATTCATACATTGGATCTTATTTTTGGGCCCACATGCTTGATATTCATATCATTACATGTCATGTTCCGGGTGCTTTCGCTCTATTTGGGGATTGGATTCCTGTCCAGACAAAATCTATCTGACGAAGTGGTTTCTCAATCCTTTTGTTTGCCAGTGGCTTTGACTTCAATGGGGTACTCCTCACATCATAGATTTTGCTATGTCTCTTAACCACAAATTGCTTTAGTTTTGGTTTTTGGTCTCAGGTTCTTCGTCTTCTTGCTCTGGCTATTGATGTTTTCAGCCAGGGTTGGACCAACACATTTGTCTATCCTCCTCCTCTTCTTCTTCTCCAGGTGATTTTGACTCTCTGTGTTCAGTCCTTCTGATAGCTCCTTCCTGGCCATCTCAGCTGTGGTTTCTGTTGCTTCTCCAGCTCCAGTTTCCTCTGCCATTTTCTTTTCTTTTGACTCTATCCCTTCTGATTCTGCCTTGATCACCAGTGTTGCATTGGACCTTCCTGTCCTCTGTCTTCACACTTGATTTTTCCTTCCATCATTGGCGAGGAGATCTGGCTTCTCGTGACTCTTAGCTACTTTTTTGGCTTGTTTCATTCACCCTTTCTTCATAGATATTTCTCAATGCAAATGGAACGATTTTCCATTGTTGGTTTCTGGGTCCACGGGTTTACCCCGATCAACCCACTGTTCCTCATAATGTGGATTTCCTCACTTGACTTTTGGATTGGAAGTCTTCTGTCTTTCAATCTCAGATTTTCAGGCAGCTCTGTTCCACACCTTTTGTTTTTCCCAATACTGCAGGTATTTACCTCTCCTACACTTTACCTGTTGATGTAATCCTTCCAGATGGGGATATTAATGTGGTCCTCTACTGTTTCACTTTGCCTACATTTGAACCACTTTCCCCATGCTCCTTGTTCCCTTATGTATTCCTTCCTTCTCATATTCACCTGTCGACGTCGGTGGTCTGTTTATTTGACATTGGTGTTTCACATACACTTTATCCTTCTACATATCTTCTCATTTCTCCAGATTGTTTTTTTTTCCTCCCTAACTCTCTGATGGATAATTCCTCTGTTT